ACATTAAAATGGAATTATGGATTATAAACAATTGCTTCAAAGCCACAGATACATTATCAACCTATGGATCAACCGATTCAGCCGCGAAAGTCTTTCTCAGTCTTTCTCGTTTTAATGCCATTGAACACGTCTTTTGATCAGATTGACAGCTACGGTGTGATGATCTCCCGTAAAAGCTCCGTAAAAGGTACGTGTTGTGATGTCTGTGTTTGCTTCCCCTGTTGCGAGATCGGATCGCTTAGATACTATACTTAAATAATCTGTGGAGTCTCAGCTTTAATCGGATATATTGTATGTGCAGTTTCGATAAGTAATAAGTGTATCTTTATTTTGAATTCTGTGCTAAAGTGCGTTAGCATTTTTTTTTTAAAATGAATAAAACCGCACGTCCCTGCGGTGCGAATACTGCGCATGCGCATACCGCGGTTATCGCCATGACACGGTATATCGTTCAGCCCTAGTGTACGCCCTATACGATCATTTCCTGATAGCGATTAAGCCATAGCCCCGCCTCTCCCCGCCTCTGCTGCTCACTGCTGCAGCATGGTACATGGTAGCATGCTACTGCTACCATGCTACAGATGTTAGTGCAAAATCTACAGCTCCTCTACCACAACCATCAGCAACAAGTGGACATGGAGAATTACCTGAACTACATGTTGCTAAATCCACCGCGGGGCATAAACAGAAGGGCAACCATGGCAACCATGCTCGGGGGTCTTCTTCGCTGCTTTTGGTGTATTTTGTGGCAGAAGTACAGCGCCACTTACAGGCCCGGCATATGTACTGCAGCGTCTCCAACGCTTTCGAGCGGTCTCGTGTGAACGGAAGACTTTTTTGATATCGTATTCGCTAGGGCTGAACGATTAATCGATTTTAAATCGAAATCGCGATTTGAAATGATGCGATTATCAAATCGCAAAGCCTGCGATTTTTTTTAACATTTATTTTTATATTGTGTGTCAGTCATCCACACCAATCAGAAGTGCTGTGCTCCACATGTACCAGCCATTGTTAATCAATCAGAAGTAGCCCATGATAGAAGGTGATAGACAGATTGATCCAATCACCTGGCAAGTATTTTTGAAATACTTTTCCAAATGGCTTCCAATGGAGCTTTAGATGCTTTGGTGAAACAAACCATCTGGGTCAGGTTAGCAATGCTCCATCACATGTTTCTATTACAGGGAGAATCTTAAACTGAAGCTTGACTTTAAAGTAACCCAACGGAAGTTTCATGTAAGTTTAGTTCTTTCACTCATAGCTCGGGCTGCGGGGGTACGTTGATACGACCTTCCTAGCCGGAGTTATGGCCGCATTTTACAATAAACTTCCGTTGGGTTGCTTAAAAACAAATATAGCAATTCGAATCGCAATCGCAATATTTGTTAGAAAAATCGCAATTCCATTTTTTCCCAAAATCCTGCAGCCCTAGTATTCGGTTCGTTTGCGTTTCGTATGCATTTGCGTTTGCGTGTAAATGGGGTCTTAGACTCCAAATAAATAGTTTGTTTATTTGTTCCTGCTAGCCTGAGGAGGATCTTGAGGATCAAGTGGTTGAGTTTTAGTCCAAATATCTCCACAACTATTGGATGTAATGCCGTGAAATTTGGTGCAAACATGCATGTTCTCCTGAGGGTTGAGCTGTAATAACTTTGATGATCCTCTCACAATTCATCGAGCTCCACCATCCAATGCATTTCTTCCTCTGGGCGACATTCATGTATCTACATTATTAGGGACATACCTGATAGTCTCTATGCATGAATACAGTAATGTGCAGATTAAAGGATGTTTTAAGGAACCAAGGAACCACAGTGAAGCAACATGTATTCAGAGGTAGATATTTAGCAAAACCCTGCTGATTTCTCAATAAAAGCCCCCAAATATCTACCCTTATCTGCATTTTAAATACTCAGTTTATGACATTTTCCAAATTTCCCATAATCAGGTTCTTAATATAGATTATAGATTGCATCCTAAGTACATTTTCTACATACAGTAGGAAAACTAAATCCTCTTTGTGGACATATAAAAACATATACATTATTTTAGTTCAAGTATAGGTCTACCGCCTTGCTTATCTTGCTTTAAAACAAGTAAACCTCAACATTAATCTTTATTGGTTTATATGGTCTGTGTTTAATTTAAACGAAGCTTTCGTCATCATGATCATAACGCTCCTCAGGTATGGTTAAATAAAACTGAAATCCTAAATATTTATCCTTTTAAAATGCAACCAGATGACTGTCTCTAATCTTTGCTCTTTTCTACTTAAATACTGGACAAGTCCTCCTCTTAATGCTTCTGGAAAAGTGTCAAATGAAACAAGAAGAAGAAGAAGCAATAATCGGTATTTGGTTAAACTGCTGGCAGCTCACACTTTTTGCACGGTTTCAAAATTTGGATTTATTTATTGATATAAGTCAATGGGATTCATCTGGCAGTAAATTACGCATTAATAAAATAAGGTTAAGCGTTTAAAGAGGCCAGGGATTACTGCCTGACTGTGACCAGTTGTAATTGCACCAGGTTATTTCTTAATTAAAGGTCTCCTATTATGCAAAATCCACTTGTTCATGTCTCTTCTACATCAACATGTGTCCCCTCTTCTTCAAGTCTCTTCTACATCAACATGTGTCCCTCTTCTTCATGTCTCTTCTACATCAACATGTGTCCCCTCTTCTTCAAGTCTCTTCTACATCAACATGTGTCCCCTCTTCTTCATGTCTCTTCTTCATCAACATGTGTCCCCTCTTCTTCATGTCTCTTCTAAATCAACATGTGTCCCCTCTTCTTCAAGTCTCTTCTACATCAACATGTGTCCCTCTTCTTCATGTCTCTTCTACATCAACATGTGTCCCCTCTTCTTCAAGTCTCTTCTACATCAACATGTGTCCCCTCTTCTTCAAGTCTCTTCTACATCAACATGTGTCCCTCTTCTTCATGTCTCTTCTACATCAACATGTGTCCCCTCTTCTTCATGTCTCTTCTACATCAACATGTGTCCCCTCTTCTTCATGTCTCTTCTACATCAACATGTGTCCCCTCTTCTTCATGTCTCTTCTAAATCAACATGTGTCCCCTCTTCTTCATGTCTCTTCTACATCAACATGTGTCCCCTCTTCTTCATGTCTCTTCTACATCAACATGTGTCCCCTCTTCTTCATGTCTCTTCTACATCAACATGTGTCCCCTCTTCTTCATGTCTCTTCTACATCACCATGTGTCCCCTCTTCTTCATGTCTCTTCTACATCAACATGTGTCCCCTCTTCTTCATGTCTCTTCTACATCAACATGTGTCCCCTCTTCTTCATGTCTCTTCTACATCACCATGTGTCCCCTCTTCTTCATGTCTCTTCTACATCAACATGTGTCCCCTCTTCTTCATGTCTCTTCTACATCAACATGTGTCCCCTCTTCTTCATGTCTCTTCTACATCAACATGTGTCCCCTCTTCTTCATGTCTCTTCTACATCAACATGTGTCCCCTCTTCTTCATGTCTCTTCTACATCAACATGTGTCCCCTCTTCTTCATGTCTCTTCTACATCAACATGTGTCCCTCTTCTTCATGTCTCTTCTACATCAACATGTGTCCCCTCTTCTTCATGTCTCTTCTACATCACCATGTGTCCCCTCTTCTTCATGTCTCTTCTACATCAACATGTGTCCCCTCTTCTTCATGTCTCTTCTACATCAACATGTGTCCCCTCTTCTTCATGTCTCTTCTACATCAACATGTGTCCCCTCTTCTTCACGTCTCTTCTACATCAACATGTGTCCCCTCTTCTTCATGTCTCTTCTACATCAACATGTGTCCCCTCTTCTTCATGTCTCTTCTACATCAACATGTGTCCCCTCTTCTTCATGTCTCTTCTACATCAACATGTGTCCCCTCTTCTTCATGTCTCTTCTACATCAACATGTGTCCCCTCTGTGGAAAGAGACTCTGAAAGTTTCAGGAACAAAGTTTCTCTCTCTTTTTGATCCATTTCTATAAAAACCTGTCTGAAAATGAGCTGATCAGATTTTGGCCACTTGATGATGTCATAACGATGTTTTGTCTTGTGTAACCATTAGCCAATCAGCAACCAAGGTAACCCCCCCCCCACCTTTTTAGTGCTTTTCCCGTTTAGTTCCGTTAGTACCCCTTATGTCGCGTTCACACCAAAAACAGTACTTAGTGCCGGGAACTTTTACCCCCATTTTTAGTGCATGCTGAGAGCAGTTACTCTCCTGGGGGGGGGGGGAAGTGCCCCAGTTCTGATTGGCTGGGCAAATTGCAAACCACGCCCGTAAAACTCTGAAATGTTTTGTAGAGCCGCCATTTTATTATCCTCGCATTAGCATTAGCATTAGGCCCGCGCACCAACGCAGAGAGACTAACTTATGGCAACACCAAAGAAAACATGGGAGCGGTGGAGATGAGGAGGTGTCGGCGTTCTGGTGATTTACTCGGAAGGCTTCAGTAGAAGCTGCTGGGAGTCCCAGCAGCTTCTACTGAAGCCAGTCCCCAACTCCGAGGACTTTGGGCGGCAGTATACGCCGTGAAGTTGTTTGCGGCCTGCCAGTAAACCCAAAGCAGAAGAAGAAGAAGTGACGTCAGCGGCTTCATTTGACTAATCTTCCCTCAGGGAACTTATTCCGGTGTGAACGCGATCAGTTCTTAAGTTCCATGGGGGTACTAAAAGCTGGGAACTAAGTACGGCGAAGTATGCGGTGTGAACACGGCTAATGTGTTCTTTTTAACCAAATATCTATCAGAGGGGCGTGGGGGAGGGGCTCCTTATTTTTATCTAAAGTAACATACAGAGAATCAGCACTTTGGAAACAGGGCTGAAACAGAGGGGATTATGGGTAATGCTGCAATGATCTGTTTGGTGTTTCAGCCAATCAGAGACAGGCTCTGTATATATCTGAGACCTGTGATATATTGATGAAGAACAGTATAATAGGGGACCTTTTAAAGGATTTTTTGTACAGGTTTTTTGACTCACCGTGCCACACGAAGCTCTCGTCCCACACGGACCACATCTGCACGGTGAAAAACGGCGCCCAGCACACCACGTACGCCAGCACGATCACGAAGGTCATCTTCACGGTGCGTAGCTTAGCTCTAGAGATGGTGCTGATGCTGCTGACGGAGCTGCGACCCAGCATCCTCTCTGGTGCCGAGCCTGATGTACTCCGACGCGTTTTATACTTCAGATTCCTCCAGATGGTGAGACAGATTAAGCCGTAACAGAACACCAGAATGGCTACTGGCAGCAGGAAGATGCCCACCGCCATCCAGGTGATGTAGGTACGAAGACCCCACGGCTCCACGAAATGCCCCCAGCAGTCGTACACACCTGATCCGGGCGTCACTTCGCTCAGGGAGAAGATGAAGTACTGCGGGCTGCTCAGAACCAGGCTGCACAACCACGTGGAACCGATCATGATGTGGGCGCGCTGCGTGGGCTGCTGAAGAGTCTGGAGAGGGTGGCAGATGGCGATGTAGCGGTCCAGCGTCATCATCACCATCATGTAGGTGGAGGCGAACATGCCCAGGACCTGAGATAAGATAAGATGGACCTGTATTAATCCCTGTGGGGAAATGCAGCAGTTCAAACAGCAAGAGGCAGGGTAAGAATGAAAAACAGGATAGCACAGATTCACACAGATTAGAAATTAATCAAATTAAAGATAACATCAAAGTACTTGTGTACTGATGGCCAATATCACAAATCACATTTGTCTCAGAGGGCTTCACAAATCAACAACATGAATGATAATGTAAAAACAACGAACATATCTGAGAGTAAAATGACAAGATAAATATGAAAATACCAATGAAAACAAAACACAATGACACAAATACATTTAGAATGCAATAATACAAATTCCATAAATGAAGGGTCCATGAGGATGTTTAAAAGGAAGTTTAAAACCAGTCCTAACTGTACGCTGTACTAAAGAGGAAAGCCTTCAGCCCTCTCTTAAATGTGTGGACACTACCTGCCTCCCTAATCAACACTGGAAGTCGGTTCCGAGGCACGGTGCTGGGTAGCTGAAAGCTCTGGCACCTGATCTTATTTTGTGGACTCTGGATTGACTCTGGACAAAGGGTTGTCCAAGGCACTTGGTATACCTGCAGGTGTTTCACGATGCGGCACAGGAAGTCCGGGCCGTAGAATCTGAAGGTGATTTCCCAGCAGAGCTGCGGCAGAACCTGGAAGAAGGCGACGACCAGATCGGCCAAACTCAGGTGTTTCATGAACAGGTGCATCCTGGAGGGCTTCCTGCGCGTCCGGTACATCGCCAGCAGCACGCTCGCGTTCCCCAAAACCGCCGCCACGAACACCAGACTCAGCACCCTGATCTCCAGCTTCGCCACTTCTTCATTGCGTCCGAAAGGGTCAGAGTGGTTCCTTTTCCCCGTGAAATTCCCAGAAGGCATTGAGGCGCCGGGCTGCAGATCAGGAGGGAAACTGCAGTTTGGGAACGTCAGGTTGCAGGAAGTCTCCGAGGGGAAAAGCATGTTGGAGATCCTCCTCTGAACACACCACCAGAGACTGTGGCTCTCAAGCTCCTCCGTTAATCCAGTGTGTGTGTGTGTGTGTGTGTGTGTGTGTGTGTGTGTGTGTGTGTGTGTGTGTGTGTGTGTGTGTGTGTGTGTGTGTGTGTGTGTGTGTGTGTGTGTGTGTGTGTGTGTGTGTGTGTGTATGTGTGTTCAAAAGGTTGCACACAGTGGAGAAGAACACCGGCAGAAGTCACACAAAAAAAAATCCACAATTATGCTTCCAGTCCTCGTTGCGGCACAGAAACTCTGGGTGTGAATCTGAGCTGCTGCAGCCTCTTTTAAAGGCTCCTGCAACCCCCCCCTCAACACACACACATACCACGACCCTACACACACACACACACACACACACACACACACACACACACACACACACACACACACACACACACACACACACACACACACACACACACACACACACACACACACACACACACACACACACACACACTCTCTCTCTTTTCCCTCCCACCCTCTTAATAGAACACAAGATGAAGTGGAGCCTGCAGGGGGAAAAGCTGCTGCTCCTCCAGAGTGTGATTGGGATAAAAAACTAAATCGTACACATGTTGGTAAAGCAATATAGAGGATGATTTAACCCAGAATAAAAAATATCTAAAATGCAGAATATGAAATGCTAAATGGAGAAGAAAAAATGCAAAAGGGACGAAAAAACGAAGAAAATAAACGTTTATTTTGCAATTAATTGTTAAATTTTTTACCATTAATGGATTTTCCATGCCAGGTTTACTTTTTGGAAATTCCTAACTGAAACTATTTTTTACATTTAAGAACATTTTAGTGTCATGAACTTGTTTCTTCTATTTGTGCTTTATCGTTCGACAAGATCGTTATTTTAAATCTCAGAAACTCTCGAGGGGAATCTTTAAATGTCGTGTTTTGTTAGACCATTATTCAATTTACAATAATATACAATAACATAACGTGGCAAATCCCCACATTTAAGAAGCTAGGACCACAGAATGATTGGTATTTTAATTCAATTAACTTATTAAAATAAAGCAACACATCTAGTAACAGAGGGACATTAATGGGAGAGATGTAATTAACTCAGACTGAAGTGTCCTCATCGATTCAGCCTTCTCTGTATTCTGACTGTGTGTGTGTGTGTGTGTGTGTGTGTGTGTGTGTGTGTGTGTGTGTGTGTGTGTGTGTGTGTGTGTGTGTGTGTGTGTGTGTGTGTGTGTGTGTGTGTGTGTGTGTGTGTGTGTGTGTGTGTGTGTGTGTGTGTGTCTAGCATTACCTACTTGTCCCCACACAGTCACGTGTGGGGACTCACCTCCCTTATGGGGACATAATGGGGGTCCCCATGAGGAGAATCATTCATTTTAGGGTGAGGTTAAGGGTGAGGGAATGCTCCGGTTTTGGGACAAAATTAACATGGGATCACTCCGGTCATTGTACGTACTTCGTCTCACTGGAATATTAACGGTCAGATTGAATACAACATCGACCCAATTTCTCCGGTCAATGACGGGAGAGTTTTGAAAGTGACAAAACACTGTTCCACACATTTAAAAACACTTAAACAATTAAACAATGTTTACCCAGGATTCAGGCACCTTCCCTGGCTTGTAAAGTGCTGTGAATCAGCCTGTTCTCTGGGTGCAGTCTGGGTGCAAGAGCCATGTGCTGCAAGGATCTCTCTGGCAGGGTTTCCGTTAGCCGGTAATTACCGGTTTTTAGCTGGTAACATTTATTAAAAACCGGTAAATTCAAAACCTGCCGGTCAAAATGTCTGGTAATAATTAGGGATGCTCCGATAGATCGGCCGCCGGTCATTATCGGCCGATATTCACTCTTAATAGTTTGATCGGTGCTCTCTATAAAGGCCGATCAGGAGAGCTGGATCTGATCGATATGGACATAAACGAGAGTGAAGTATAACCGGACTCGAGAGAGAGATCAGATCAGCTGCTGAGTCAGACCGAGACACGCAGCTCTGCATAATCACCTGAAGCCCCGCCCACTGTTTAGCGAGCTGCAGGAGCTGCATGAGAAACTGACGGGCTGTCAGGAGAGAGAGGGAGGATTCGTTTCTCCCCTGTTATTATTCAAAGTTGATGTAAACTTTTGAATAATGTACGTTATCTACTACAAGTAGTTAGTTTGAATGTAATAATTATGTTGTTTGTTGTTTGTGGAATAATTTATTGAAAAATGAAGCTGCATTTTTCGATCTGTTACGATTATAAACTGAAGCAATATAAAAATGAGCCCCGTGAACTGAGTTTTAAACATCAGCATATCTGCTCATAGTCCGTTAATTACCTGCTAACGGAAACTCTGCAACACAACTCTTATTATTATTATTGAAATATGACCGGTAAGTTTCAAATTTGTCCGGTAAAATAAATCCTGCCCGGACATTTGACAGGCGAGGAAAAATCCTAGCGGAAACCCTGCTCTCTGTGTGCGCTCTGTGAGTCTCACACCCCCGCTTCTCTCTGCCTGTGTGTCTGTGAGTGTGAGACCCTGCTAACAGTAGTGACTCTGCTGTACTTATCTTCTTGTACATTTCGTGAGTCAAATGTGGACGAAATGGACAGTTTCCTGTCCATATGACCGGCTGTTTATGCAGTCAAATGCGAATTGGAATTAAAACAGTTTAATGCACTTTTAACACTCATGTACCCACGATTCAAGCTGCTTTCCTGGGTTACAAAGTGCTGTGAAGCAGCCTGTCCTCTGGGTGGGAGAGCCATGTGCTGCAAGGAGCTCTGTGGGTGCGCTCTGTGGGTCTCACAGCCCGCTTCTCTCTGGCTGCTCTCTCCCTCTATTCACAGCACTTTCCCCCAGCTTTCAAAGACTTATTGCTGGGTGGAAGAGCCATGTGCATCACCCTGGGTCTCTGCCTGTGTTCCTGTGAGTCTGAGACCCTGCTTCTCTGGGGTGCTGGAGAGTCATTTTCAGGCTCCTCTCCACAGTTGTCCCCCTAAAACTGATTTGTAATCATTATTTTTGCATTTAAATGATTTATTTTATCATTAATATGGTTCCCTAACACAATGCACATAGTCTGGAGCTCACTGGGGTCCTGCATATGCTTTAATCAGGCGTTTTAACACTTTTTTTTTTTCCATGAAAATGATTTTTATTCACTATCATAGGGCTATATAAATCAAATTCCGGGTAATTCGGAGCACAATTGTACCTTTTACTATTTAAATGCATTTGTATTATATATTTTTGGGCTATAAAAGTGACATTTCTGGGTGACTTTGTCAGTTTATGGAGCTTAGCCCACAAATCCTGGAGGTTCCAGGCCGAATTTGGGAGCTCATAGGCGGCCTGCCATGCGCCCCCACCTGTGGAAAGAAGAAAAAAGTAAAGAAAACGGTCAATTATATCTTAAAATAATCAAAAATGAAGTTTAAAAAAAATTGTTTCAATTGCTTTGAAAAGCTCAACCTGTCGGCGTTTCCGGCCGAAGCCCCGCACACGTTTCCACTCCCCCGTTGCAACTTACAACGGAGATGGAAAACCAAGCCTCCCCTTCTCCGTCAAAAAAATGCATTCGTCATTTTCAAGCTACTGTCCGCACGAAATCGGAAACCCAGTTTTTGAGAGGAATCAGAAAAAAAACGGCTGTCTCACTTCATGGAGGAATGTGTCCGCTCCTAGGGCACTCTGGCTCGGATTAATTTGTTGCCTAGAGACCCCCCAGCATGGTTCTTACCAAACTTTAAGTTTTTGAACTGGTCTCTGGAGGAATGTAAGGGGAGTTTGAGGGGACTCTATCCGCATTATGAGGCACTATTTTTGGATACTTTTTTTCATTTTCACCCATTTTCCCTGGTTCTCCAAAAACTTGAATCTGACTATTTTGCCTGTGGAGGAATGACATGAGAGTTGACAGGGGACTCTACCCGGGTTATGAGGCACTATTTTCGGATACTCTTTTACATTTTCACCCCTTTTTTATGGTTCTCCAAAAAGTTAACTCAGACTTTTTTCTGACTCTGGAGTCATTTTCACCCCTTTTGCCTGGTTCTTTTTATTATTTAAATTTTTTGGCCCGTTTCACCCAGTTCCATCTTCCGGGGGCACTACCCGGTCCTGGGTGCCCCCCGACGGCCTTTGTCAAGCCGTTCCCCCCCCCCCCCAACTCGACCGTACATTAACGGATTTTGTCCATTTTTGCTGTGTTCTTCTCCTCTCACCTCACTGATCGAATGGCAAACGCGACCCGCCATCGGAGGGCCTCCGCCGGCCCGGCCTCGTGCCGGTGCTCTGGCGGTCGGTTCCTCCGAACTGCGGGTTCTTCTCCTTTGACCTCACTGATCGAATGGCAAACGCGACCCGCCATCGGAGGGTCTTCTCCCCCAGTCCACGTGCCGGTGCTCTGACTGTCGGTTCCTCCGAACTGCGGGTTCGACTCTGATGACCGGGAGGGTGTGCTGCGTGGGGGTAACCATGTGTGTCTCTTACCTCCCGGGCCGACCGATATGAAGCGTTTCCAAGACGAACCGTCTGACTCAGGGGTCCCACCATGGGTTCCGCAGCGGGTTGGAAGTTCCACCTCCCCACTTCGCCGCGGAGTGCCAGGCAAACATCAGTTTCTCTAATCCTCCACTGTTATATAGCGGCCTTAGTCGGCTGCGGCATTCAGCAATTGGCCTTGCTCCGGGCACCAGTTCCCTCTGGGACCACGGCTCGGTGGCTTCACATGATATAGGGTCGACCCTACTTCATCACAGGCTACCTGTTTGATCCTGCGTAACAACCACATATGCTTGTCCATCGGAGGGCCTCCTCCCCGGGTCCACGTGCTTGGCGGTCGGGAAAATGATATTTTGCAGGACATGACGGAGCTCAGGAGTCTGAACTTTGAAGCTCCTGGAGCGGACAAAGATATGTGTATTTGCCTGAATGATGGAAATAAACAAAGAATGATATTTTACAGGACATGACGGAGATAGGTGTATTTTCCTGGCTTTTTGGAAATAAACCAAATGTGATCTTGCAGGGCATTACGGAGCTCATTTACCCATGTGAGGGCATCCTTCTGAGCCCTCAATGCCAAATTTTCATTTTAGGGTTACCAGGGGCATGAGGTTCTGTAGGGTGTGATCATCTGGGTTTAGTCCGTGGGGGAGTGCTTAAGTCCGGGGGCCCGGGGACTCACGGTGTGCAAGGTTATGGAGGTGTCCATGTCAGGGACACATGCTGGAGGTCATTAGTCCGTCCTTTGGGGGTC